TTTTTCGATTATTTTATATAGGATTGGAGACTGTGTAAGATTAAGTACAAAGGAAAAGAGAAGCTTAATGAAGTCATGACATCAACGGATAATACATGCAGAAATAATATGACTCCTCCATTATTGAATTTCGAACCTGAAGATGGCGGCAGCGGCAACAGCAGGTCCATTTCCACGAACACAACTCCCATGCAGGTGGAGTTTGTTTCCGAACAGCCACCGCCACTAATGCAGCTGCCATTACCTGTAAACGAGAACCTTAATTACGACGATTATTGTTGGCATAACTCGAACGTGATGTTTGACGATGATCGTCATCTTTTTGCTGCTGATCAACTCGAGAGTCTATCAGACGATCAACCATTTTCGGACCTTTGGTCATGGGATAGATGATATTAGTTGCCCACTTTTATGTACTTATAATAAGCGTCGACGATAGGGTTTTTATGTTGGAAAATCTTATTAGTGATCATCTGTCTTGTTCGTACTATAATTCAGCAGCAATTTAATGTTTTTTATTAATAATTTGTATGAATATTTGTATGGTAGTTTTATCTCGAGCTCTAATTGATTTGAAATGATGATAATCAAGGGATACATACATACATACATCATTTTGCTGTTCTAATTTAATAATTAGCTCTCGAGCTCTAATTTAATATTTTTTTTATGAATAATTTGACCTCTCTTTAGCTGTTTAAAGTCAAAAGGATACATACATCATTGAAATTTTAGGGTTAATTACACCGTATATTATTTAACTTTAGTCGCATATCATTCATTCATATCACAAAACTTTAAAATATTTCAATTATAACACTTAACTTTGATTTTGAGTTCAATGTAAGCAATGAGTCGTTAATTTATTTACAATCAATGATATGGCAATTTGGTACTGACTTGTGCTTATATGGAACTTTAGTTTGTGTATTGATTTTGTCATTAAATTTTAAAATGTTTTAATTTTAAGCATTGCATTTTAGTTTGTGTATCACTTTGACCACCATTGATCAATTGGTGCCCATCATCAAATCGGCATTCGAGGCAAGATCGATATCAAAATGATCGCATTTCACTTATCTCTTCTCTTCGTATTGGTTTTCCATGAAACATACTCAAAATCAACTAAAATTAATTTAAAGGTTTGACGTTTTAATGCTCTAGTTTGGGGTTTTCTAAGATTTGAGGTGTTTGTTTGAAAATCCGAAAGGTTGGAAGCATTCTTTCGGGAGGATGAATAATATATCTCGAAACTAATTTCGTCGAACGATTATCAAAAGATATTGGAGCATTAAAATGTCAAATTTTTAGATGAATTTTCGTAGATTTGAAATAGGTTTCATGAAAAATTAATTCAATGAGGTGAAATAGGAATAAAATGCAAATATCTAAATATTGATTTTGTTGAGAATAATGACCATCAACGAACGATGATTTTTCGATGGTAGCTAAACTGATAATAAAATTAAAATTTAGTGACAAAATCAATATACAAACTAAAGTTCTACAAAAAAAAAAACTGATCATATCATCATACAATTAATGATGTAACGGTTCAATGTATACAGTAATCCTAAAATTAAAATTTAATGTTATAATTGAAGCTTTTAAAGTTCAATAATACGAACGATACACAACTTAAAATCTGAAATTATCAACAAGAATCTACAGTTCAATATCACCAAAATCTTTGAACTTAGGGAAAAAAATAACTTGACCTTATAACATTAGCGACATAAATGTGATGCAAACATTGACCATAACATAATTATTGAAGATACTATTTGATTTTTGAGAATCTATTTTAATCTTTGTAATTATTTTTAAATAATTACTAGATCAGTAAGTACATTCAGTTTCTTGCTCTTCATCAGCATCATCTTCAGCATCATTTTGGTCATCATCTAAATCATTCCCATTTTCAGTTTCATCTTCACCAACTTTCTCCTCTGAAATTTTGTACGGTTGGATGATACCCTCATGTCTGAACCGGAACTCTCAGTAAAATCGGCAAGATTTAACACAAACTCTCCTCTTTCTGGATGAACGCAGAAGATTGACTGCAACAGCACAAAGACTAAAAGTAATCAAATTCAGAATGCAAGAAACCAGAGGAAAAATGAGTCATTTAATTCAATCAGCTTCAAGGAAAGAGGCAATGATATAAAAGCATGCAAAATGTTTCTTATAAGAATTTCTACATGAAACATGTAGGCAAACCAGGCCACTGGAACCACCTGCTTCCCTTATTCCATTAGCCTTTGGGCTTAACGCTGTATTTGGGCTACTAATTTAGTATTGTATACAAATATATCAAAAACCAACTAGTCCAATCAAAATTCAAATTTTTTTTAAAAAATAATTTGGATGGTTGCGACCCAAACTAATAAGATTAACTTGAGTTTTGGTCGAATCAAATTTCGGGTTTAGGATAAAAAATTCCAATCCAACATAAGGTAATACTATAATTTCTATTTATATATTAAGAGATAGTTACTAAAATGTCTCTTTTTAATTTTTTCAATTAATTTTTTATTTTATTAAATAAAATTATTTTTGTTAGGTTAGATTGGGTTTAGGTGGTGCATAACAAGATTTTAACCCTTTCCTCCAGGAAGATTTGATTGGGTTTGAATAGGTTGGAACATCACCAGACGTTGGGTTGGATTTGGGTCATGTGGTAACCTTCTATTAAAAGCAGCAATTTTGCTGACATCAGTGAAAGTTCTTCCTATAGCTGGTGTTTCAGAAAGCTTGTCAAATTAAGGATTGAAGCCCTCCTTATTATTAACACAGGAATTTCGAAGACCAGAGAAATATGGGAGGAATTGAGAGAACAAAATGCAAAGGTACCATGGCACAAAGTTATCTGGTTTCCACTGCACATTCCCAAGCTGAGTTTTATCTCATGGATGGCTATTCTGGATCGTCTTCCTACTCGGGAAAGGCTCTCTAAAATGAGTATTGTTTCTGATGATTTATGTTGCTTATGTCATGAGTCGACTGAAACTAGAAACCACCTGTTTATGGACTGTTCTTTTGCTACTTCTCTATGGAACTCAATCATGAGTCTTTCTAATATGTGCATCATGCATTCTACCTGGGAATCAAGAATTGGATGGCCTTCTCAACTTTGGAAAGACGAATCACTTATCACCATCATTCTGAAACTTTCATGGACAACTTACATTTACTCGATCTGGGAAGAAAGAAATAGACGAATCTTCAGAAGAGAATCAAGAACAACGGATCAAGTCTTAAAAAATATTAAAGACCTTGTTCGTTTCAATCTCAGTGACAGAAACTTCAATAGAACTGACTATGTTAATATAAACTTATGTAATTATTGGGGTATAGACTGATTTTTGTTGTTGTAAGTAGCGTTTATACTCTCAATTGGGATATTTTGTTGTATCTTTCTTCATTGGATAATAAAATTTTGTTTATCCAAAAAAAAAATTCAACCCGACACATGTTTATCCCCAACTTCGACTCCCTCTAAATGATAAAACTTTAAAATTAGTCCCTTTAAGATGTAAAATTTGTATTACAACCCCTAAAATGATAGAATTTTAATTTAATCCTTTAAGATTATATAATTAGAAGTCAAAGCAATAATAAAAGTATAGTATAAATTTTAATATATATATATATATATATATATATATATATAATTTATTTTATCTCCCAAAGAAATTAATCTTGCCCCTAAAACCAGTAACTTTTTAGGTTGATTTCTTGAATGGATTATTTCCTCATTTTGGTAGAGGATGGAGTTAGTTTCCAAGTAAACTATATATGAATATCTCCAAATGTGGGCCATGTAACCACAACCGTTGATTCATAGCGATGAACACTAATTGATTCATACTGATTTAACCGATCGAACCAACAATTAATTTAATTAATTCGATTAATTTTATAAATTAAATAGGTCAGATAAATTAGAAGAAAATTTTGAACCGAACCGATCAAAACTTCCCTATTATTGGTTCAAACCATTGACCTTAAAAGAGCCGTTTTTAACTTTTGTTTTGAGTAATTTGGATGAATTTAGTATATGTTTAGATTTTTTTTATAGTTATTGACAATACATATATATTTTATGCACACATTTGCTCGAATTCAAAACTTTAAAGAAAAGTAACATTCTATTTTACTATTAAAGTCACTTAATAATTTCACACACGCTACAGATATATTTGCTTAAACTTTGAACCTGTAAAGAAAGTAGCACTCTCTATTGTACCATCAAAATCAATTAATAAGTTTAAGAATAATTCAAACTTAAAATCTTTAACTGAATAAGATTGATTTGAATTTGATAATTAGTATAATTATAAGATTTTTATTTTATTCTTACTTTTCATATATGTATATTTGCATATTCATATATACGTGATGAGACACATGGCATGAGTAGCATCAATGGTATAAAGTTTAAAGAAGGGGTGTGGGTCTAAAGAGCTAAGTTCTGTCTCAACTACCCCAACTATAGAAATTGTCTCCAAAACTCATACTTTGTCCCAGCTGCCTCCTTTGTTAGGTCTAATGTCATGCCATCAATGCCATGTTCCACATCTCAATATATTGAGATAATAATAATAATTGATCTGTTGACATTTGAATTTTAAAAGAAAAATTAGTTAAATCCTTAAATTTTGTGTACTCAATTAAAATTTTATAATGAGAAATTATATTAATTGAACCCAAATTGATTCAATTAATTTTTGAAGATTTTTTATCATTAAATCTTAATAATTTATTAAGATATTATTATCATGTGATTGACGAAGCTTTAAAGTATAGAAATTTAATTATATTTATTTAATATTTTTTCGAAAATTTGAGAAATTTTAACACCGTTAAACCAAAAATGTAAAATTAAATATCAGCCATCATCTTTGAGTCAACATCTATACAAGTTTGGTATAATTTCAAGCCCAGCAGCCCACAAAACCAAACTTTGTATGTGAAGTTCCCTTTCTTTTTTTTTTAAATCCCTGCAAGATAACTAACCTGCTTTGCTTAGGGCTAGGATCTAAAGAAAAGAATAGAAAATGTCTTCAGCTGTTGTAGGAACTTTCTCGGCATCCAAACAAATTGGTTTCAAGGAAAAAACCGAAAGTGAAGAAGAGTCGAGAGATGAGAAGAACAAGAAGTGTGTTGATGATGGTGTTGTTGAAGCTAACAACAACAACGATGATGATGATGATGATAGCAAGGTGAAATCAGAGAAGGAATTGGATCTTGGTCCTCAGTTTTCTCTCAAAGAACAGCTTGAAAAGGACAAGGTAAACATATCTATTTGCATGAAAATCATTTTCTTCTCTAATTTTCCAGGAAAACTAAGCCCGTATTCCGGGAAAAGTCAACCATGAGATGTTTTCCCCCCTAGGATGATGAAAGTTTGAGGAGATGGAAAGAACAACTTCTCGGTAGTGTCGATATGTCCACGGTCGGAGGTATACATTATCCGAACTCTCCGATTTCGGTTTTCTTATAATATTCGTATTTGATATCTTTGTCTCGATGTTTAAATGTAGAGAGCAAAGAGCCCGAAGTTACGATATTAAGCCTATCGATCCTATGTCCGGGGCGACCGGACATATTGTTGTCGATTCCATTCGCTTCGAAACCTAAGAGCTCTCTGTTTATGCTAAAAGAAGGAAGCAAGTATCGTCTCAAATTCACCTTCAGTGTCTCCAACAACATCGTCCCCGGTCTCAAATACACCAACACTGTTTGGAAAACTGGTGTTCGAGGTACTGAAATAAGAAAAAAAATCGAAACAAACTCGAATAATTCAATATCTTTTTGTTACTCTCTTTTATCATCCTTGTACGAGAAAATACGGATCGGATTCGGGTTTTAAATCTATTCTTGTAACAATTTGGCAGTGGACAACACAAAGCTAATGTTGGGGACATTTAGCCCACAAAAGGAGCCTTATACATATGAATTGGAAGAAGAAACTACTCCATCTGGCTTGTTTGCTAGAGGCTCCTACTCTGCAAGAACCAAGGTAAAATATTTAGGTTAAAATATACTTCAAGTCCCTGTTCTTTTCAAATATGTGTGAGTACAGGGATTTGCAGCATAATTTAACCCCTTTTTTAATTTTTTACTTAATTTAAAAATTAAGATTTTATTTTTGTTTATGCAGTTTGTTGATGATGATGGCAAAGTGTATTTGGATGTGAGTTATCACTTCGAAATCCAGAAGAACTGGCCTTCACGTTCTTGAAAACACTTTATCTATTAGAATAAAAAATTTAAAAAAATCCAGTTAATCCATTTATTTTATTTTAATTGAGCTTGATGTTTGTATTTTTTTTAAAAATATATTACCCTTTCCCCGTGTAGATTATGTTTTATATTATTATCGGTATTATTTTATTCCTGATTGTCTATCTGTCTACAATCATGGCTTCCACATTCCCTTTATTATAAAAAAATAATGTGATGATTAATGCAAGCACTTTTATACAGATATTCTATTTATGTTTTAAATTTTAACATATTAAATTTTATTTGTATAAAATATAATAAGAGTGGATGAATATAGAACCTAGGGTTGATTAAAATATCTTAATTCAACCGATTTTGATTTAATATAATTTTATAAGGTTTGGGTTTTTTTTATTAAAAAAAGCATGTTTGTGACGGTTATGTGAAAATGAAAGTTGAATTTAGGATAAAAAATATTTGACTTGAATAATTATTATAGCTAATTACGTTATACATCTCTAAACTATAAATCTTATTCTAAATTGGTATCTAAATTTTAAACTTTTTAGTCTCATCCTCGAATTATGATTATCATTCTAAATTAGTCGTTGAACTTTTGAACTTTTTAAATCAATCTCAAAACTACTACCCTCATTTTATATTGTTACCCAAAAACTTTTCAATGATTTTGGGGATGTTATTGGAATATTCAAAAGTTTGAGAACCGATATAGAAGGGTCATGATGTAGGGATAAATTTGAAATGCTTAAAAGTTTGAGAATCAATTTAGAATGAGAACCATAGTTCAGAGAAGAAATAAAATTTTCAAAAGTTTAAGGACTAACTTAAACTAAATGCAATAATTTATGGATGTGTAACGTAATCATCTCTAAATATTATTTCAATTATCACCTTATATCGTCGAAAATTTTAAAAATAAAATTAATTCAGGTCTGATCAATGTCGAAGAACTTTTATCCCAATGTTCAAAATAAATAGAACATCATGAAATGTTAAAACAAATAAAATACTTTAATTTTAGATTGGAGATTGAGGTAATAAAATCCCGATCTATCTCGTCCCTTACACATCCATGATCAAATATGATAAAAAAAATCTATGAAAAGAAGCTTGATTGCCCCAGAGGATTGGTGAAATGATAATGGTTGTGGGGAATGAAAATGACAAGGGACATGGACACCATGTGCCATGATTTTAGCAATGCTGTATTTGCTTTTAACTTGTCATGTTGGTATGCCTTACATTGCAAGGCTTCAAAAGTAAATGCCAATTTATTTTGTGGTCCAAACTCAAACATAATTTTGTAATATACGTGTTGTTCCAATCACGTGTAATTTCATTTTGATAGACTTAGAGGTGACGATCGGGTTATTCGGATCGAGTCATCTCAAGTATAGATTACTTCATTTTAGATTCAACTCGGGTCCGATCTGATTCGGGTTTAGTTTGGGTCATTGGAAATTTAGTTATGGTCAGGTCAAAATTGAATCGGTTGATTTTTGGGTCGGATTAATATCAGATCGGTTGGCTTCAGGTAGAACTAATATCGGATTAGTTGGTTTCGATTCGGGTCAACCATTAGATTTTTTTGTCCAGTTTCAATTCGAGTCAACATTAGATTTTCAAGTTAATCTTTGTCGTCACAACTTTTTGTACTACTCTTTATTGTTTATAATTCAAGAATTTTATGTGAATATATATTGTCGTATCTCAAATTTAGAGTTAGAAATTTTAGTTTTAATCAATCGGATCAATACATCTTTAAAATCAAGAATTTTATGTAAGTATATATTGTCACAGTCCAAATTCAGAGCTGGAAGCTATTTCATCTGATATAGAGATGGTATTTTAACTCAATAAAGATTATATTAATCCTTAAATTATTACTAGAAGTGATGATTAAATAGTAATATAATATAAAATAGATTTAAACATACCTCAAATTCAGATCATATATAGGTAAAAAAAATCCAGGTTGCTTTCAGTACAGGTTTTTCCGGTTCGGATTCCTTTCGGTTCAGGTCAATTTTTGTTTAGGTTACTTTTATTTTCAGTCTAACTAAAATTTAGGCCATTTTTTATTTGATTAAGGTTATATCATGTTTCAGATCAATTTTGGGTCATCATGTTTGGGTCTATAACGGGTATCAGATCGGATAAATTGGTTCGAATAAACAAATACGAGTCAAATTTGCCAGGTTTAGATAGCCTTACTTCACGGGTTGGTAGCAAGAACCAAACTATAATAAATATTGGAATCAGAATTCATCAAGTGACATCAATGATTAAAGGGAATGTTGCTCTCCCTAGAGGTATTGGGTTCGAGTAGCAACATATTTAGAGTATGTGCCTATCAATTAGTTAAGAAAATTATGAACATCTACTGCCTTGTAATCACTTCATACTATTGAAAAAATAAAATATATATTAACATCAAATATATATTTTAATTCTAAAACACCATCCTCTTCTTTTAATGAAAAAAATAATTTAAATATATGTAGACATTAACATCAAATATATATTTTAAGGTAAATTACATTATTAGTCAATTAACGATTAATAGTTTTAATTTTGATCATCTAAGTATAAAAAATCAATTTCATCACTAATGTTGTTGATTGTTCCTGTTTTGATCATCTTCTGTTAAATATTTAACAAAAAAATTCAACAAATTCAGCCCCCTACACCTACAAATTTCATCAAATTGATACTAAATTATAAATAACTCAACACTCAACCATCTACATTAACAAATTCTATGAATTTTTATAGTTCGATGATCGAAACAAAAACATGCTAATAGTTGAGTGATTAGTGATGTGTTTTTATCAATATTTTGTTATTATTTGAAAACAATCACATTCTAAAGAATCACGCTCTCTATTCAAATGATAATATGGGAAAGCACCAAACATACTTTCTTTCCAATCATCATGAAAAGAGTAAAATATAGTGAAAAAGAGATCAACACATCATTCATCTTCTCATTAAATGTGAACAATTATTATTAAATAAAACTTTTAAATGAAATGAAAAGGAAAAATTAAATGCCAGCTTTAATCTTGATAGAGAAATGATTATTTTATTTTTATATTATTTGTATTTATATATTAATAAATTAAAGAAGAAACAAAATATAACAATTTTACAACATAACGTCAAATTTAATAAATTTAAAAATTAGGAAAAATGTATTTGAATAACATATAATTCATGAAAATATTAATTATCTACATAATTATTACAAAAGTTATCTTATCTATGATTGAATTATTCATTCAAATTCATTATTTTAAATTCACATGAGTTCAAGTATTAAAAAAATATTAATATCAAATTAATTCAATCTAAATTAAATTATTATTAAATAAAAAATAATTTGAATTTTTAAACTTGAACCAATTCAATCCAATGTCATCAATTCTTTTTTACATTTCCATTTAAAAATTCTCTCTTTTTTCCAGATTATTTTTCATTAAACGGACTGCACCATGAATATTTTATAACGAGCTAAATGAAATTGAAGTTGCAAAAAATAACAAATTCAGTGTTTTTTTTCTTTTACACGGTGAAGTATATACATTCTACAATAAAACCTGAAAATTTCTCACTACAAGAAGAAGAAGAAGAAGAAAGCTGAAAAATTCATGGATAATCCAACAATGTCTTGGAGCATTAGTGCACCACTCTTATTGGTTTCAGTTTAGCTGCAGTTACCAACCAATGTCTTGGAGCATTAGTACACCCCGCACGACCTCTGATATATCTACATGTTTCATCAGTTTTTTTTTTAAATTTGATTCAATATTTATTTAATTTTCACATATGTTAAAAAATTATTTTTATGAATAATGATGGAATAATTTGATTTCTTTAATCGTGAATGGTTCATCCTTTTTAGTTTGAGTGGAGAGTCGCGGTTGGTGGGAAAATGATCGTTGGCTGGTGATTGAAGGAAGAAGAAGAGAATGAGTCATCATGAGAAAGAAGAAAGATTATCAGTACGGTTCATTTCCTTTTTTCCAGTCTTGATTGAGGATATTTATAGTGGCTTTTAATGCACGTGCTAGTCGTAGGATTATTATGACTATTCATAAGTCGACATGCTAGATTGATCTGATAGTCATATCTTGAATTTCATTATAACATATTATATTAGTCTACAAGAAACCGTGTTCAAGAGACGCGAGCTAAACGATAATTCTGGTGGGTAAAGAGGCCTATATGAAAACTTCAGCTAATGGAGAGTTAATCGTTCTAGCAAAAGTTTAAAAGTTTCCTAAAAATATCTTTGAAGGTATAACAAGGATTCTTCAAACTCATACTAGATTTGTTATGAAATTACCTTATTCTCTTTGTTCATGTTCCGTTTTTGGTTCAACGAAGTTCCTTTTATTAAAAAACGAGTAAATTATAAATTTTATCATTAAATTTTACTCTTTCTTTTATTTCACGCATTATATTTTTAATTTTTTCAATTTACTCATTAAATTTTATATATTGAATTTTTTATCACTCTATCGTTTTCTCTCTAACAATTGGATGATGTGGAATAACTTAATATTAATTATGCCACATCAAATTAATATTAAATAAAAATATTAATATCTAATGTCAAGTAGGATTTTAAAATAAAAATAAATAATATTAAAATTACTAAACTCTAATTCCAACCTCCAAATCATCACCGACCATTTCAAATGACAAGCACCAGTCGTGAGTGCAAGCAAACCCACAACTTGAAAGTTGATGTAACCCCCTAGACCGATGCGGGTAGCCCGATCCGATCCGGGAAGTCACATTAAGGCCACCGGAGCGACCCACTGTAAATATAGCGGAAAATTTAAAACTTTTTATCAGAGCATGTAAACTTATAAAATCAGTTTTCACTATTTAAAAATAAAACAGATTTCCAAACTCGTATATAAATCAAAATACAATTACATGCCCCCTAATCACATGTACCATACTCTGCAACAACACCGGACGAACTCCCTTATTGAAGTCGATAGATGCACTGGTATAATTCTTTTAACCTGAAAAGGTGAGTAATAGAGTGAGCTTTGGAAAGCTCAGTAATACAGAACTACCAGATGATGCTGATGAACGTGTAGATACAAATAAATATATATTTCCTTATTGTTTCCGAACATTTACAGATTTTTATGCTGAGCAGAGATCCTACTGACATTTCAGGTGGTAACGGACAATGAGCTTTCAGTTCAGAGAAATATTTCAGATGACTGAGTTCGGAAGATCAGAATAGGTTTTCTAGTGTGTTCCCAAAAACCATGTAACTTTCTAGATCTTTTTAAAACATATATATATATATATATATATATATATATACACCCCCATCCATCACGAACAAAATGTGTAGGTTCCCCAGAACCATACAACCCCGTCACGTCCAGTAAGGCCCTGAGCACACAGTCGAGGAACCTGTAAGTAAGGCCCTGAGCACACAGCCGAGGAACCTCCAAGTAATCTTCCTCCAACAATACCCCCCAATAAAACATGTTCCGTCCGTAAACGGATATATCAAAAATCAAAACATAATTCAAGTCAAGTATCATATCAGAATCCAGGTCATGTATCAGATCAGAATCCATGTCAATATCATATCAGAATCCAGGTCAGGTATCATAACATAATTCAAATTTGAAATCAGATAAAATATTCATGTAATTAGGGAACACACCAGAGTTTACAGGTATTATTTAGAGGTACTGTATCAGGCAGAGAAACACAGTTCTTCAGTATGTCGATAGAATGTTCGACATACTGAAGAATGTGAATTATCAGTTATTCATGTAATTTAGAATCACTATTGGGAGAATTCATTAACTGACAGAATCATCAGTTATTCAGAATGTGAATTATCAGGATATTATCTTATTCGGACAGTTTTCAGAAGCTGTACGTAATCAGAAGGGTATTCAGAATCCTTTACATCCATGTCAATTGATCGGATAATCGAACAACTTGAGAACGAAGATTCAGAACCTTAACAATCTATGTCGACTGGTCAATTCATTTTCCTTCTAGGGTATTTACTCTTTAACACCACAAATTCTTATCCGTATACCATTTTCGGAATCATCACTGAATAAATCTTCCAATGTCTTTATTTCATTTCCACACTTCCACAATATCATGAAATGCTGACGTACTTGATTAATTTGTTCATAACCCATTGTAATTGTACACTACGTAAACTCTTCAGAGTTTCCAGACTTATCCAAATTACTTATTAAATCCTCAGTCATTGAGGTTACCTAGTTCATTTAGCAGTCATGTCCATTCCAGTTACTTCAGGATTTTCCAGAGAAATTCAAACGTTCCTGAATTTCAGATACATGTTGTACTTTCATTCCATTCAATTTGGTATTCGTGGTTGATTTGTCGAACAAACGTCCAATTCTTAGTAATGAATACGATCTAGAGCTGAGCTGAGCTGAATACTTCCAAAATTTATCATCGAGCCAAACTTGAGAATACGTACACATGTTACAGTAATATCTATGCCATTCAGGTATTGACATAGCTTTAGGGTTGATCTACTCACTTAAATTATTTTCCATTACCTTTAAAGGTAGTCCAATACCTATGCTTACTTTGCTTACTTGGATTCCTTAATTAATCCAAGATATTTACTTAATATAGACCATAAGGGTATTTTGGTCATTTTGGTTTTTAGTTTTATTCCAATCATAACAGAGCTCAAGGGTATTCTTGGGTCATTTCTATTACAGGGGTATTTTGGTCATTTTACAGATCCACGATATTTCAATCTTTTTCCTCCATCCAGTCTTATTATTTAATCCAATCTTATCATTTCCTTCAGTCATTTTGAACAATTCTGACAGTGGAATACCCCCGATAAATTATTCTTTAGATATTTACTCATTACTCGAATATTTTCGGGTCAAGTGCCTTCTCAGATTTTACAAACGGAATATCATGAATTTTTTTGTACAAAGATAAGATCTTAACAATTAAATTCGTACTTAATCGAGTTAAGTACAAATCCTCAAAGTACTTTCTCATTCAGGGTCAACTCAGACTATTTTATCTCTCAAGGGCATTTTTGTAATTTCTTAACCAGATAATTTTGATATTATCTCTTAACGAAAATAATATAATTTAGAGATCATATGATTAATTACTTTCTTGAACACTCTCTGATCTTGAAATAATTCCCTGAACAGACTTCTAGTATCTTGCATAAGCCCTCTTGGGGTTAAAAACCGGTTATCCATAACTTCCAAGTACAACTAACATTTCTTATGCACATCAATATATTTATCAGATCAATATGTCTTTTCAGATTTATTAATCCACTTCCAGGGACAATTCTTATCATTTTTCAATAAAAGGGTAATTTCGTATTTTTACCCTACCGAAGTATTCTCATAATTTTCCATCCAAGTACCTTTAACATTTAACCTTTGATGATATAAAATATAATTTACAAATCCATGTTTGTTTTCTTTATCACTAATCACAAACTTGTAATTTAATTCTAACAATCTTTCAATCTCTTATATTAATCATTCGATCCGTATTCAGATACTAAATTTCTACCACATTCATATCGAGTGTAGAAACTAATTAACTACACAAATGAGACCAACATTGTCTTAATCATGCATTTACTAATATTCACATGTTCCAAAAAGCATAAAGAGGTAGTAAAGTATTACCTTGATTTTTGTGCAATACTGATCGACCATAAAAATTCCATTCGAACGCCTTTGATCTTTAATTCAACTTCCAATAATTCCTCATATACATATCAACATAAATTATATCAGAAACGGAGCTTAATTGCGATAAACGGATCGAATCAAGTGATAAATCAGTGAAAAATAGCTTACCGGGTTCGAATTTGGTGAAACGGACTTCGGATTCGGATTCAGGACGTCGAAAGCATAAAATATGACTTTTCGGAAATTTGGAATTTTTGGTCAAAATCAAAGTCAACGGGTTTAACCGGCAATTTCGAGGCCTTTGGGTTCGAATTTCGAAAAACGGACAGCGGAATCGGATTTGGAACGTCGAAAAATATCAGGATAGGTATACTCAGTCGAAGTCAAAGATCGCTTAAAGCCCGGTCAAAGTTTTAGTAAACAGTGGTCAATGCCGGTCAACGGTCAACGGGTTGGGTCAACAGGTCGGGTAAACGGGTCGGGTCGGGTTATGACCGGTCAAACCGGTTAACTATGCACCAAAACCGGTCAAACCGGTCATTTGGACCATCCCACGCGCAGTGGCAGCGCGTGGGGGCGCATGAGGCCCATTCCGGCTGCCTAAAAATCACGGAAAAATTCTTAAAAATTATTTTGAGCGATTTCAAGATACTTACAAAACTCGGTTCAAATTTTTGAACGGCGGAGAGCTCAATTTCAACGAATCGGAAACTTTGACCGCTTCACCTCCTCACGCGACGCTGTCGACGGAGACCAAGAATGACATCGGCGAACTCGGAAAGATGCAACGAACATGATGGTGTGGGAGGTGTCGTGAACGGATGACCCGATCGTCGTGAATCGATGAAAAACCAACTAAAACTGAGTTATTACTGACTATACTTCCGACTGAAATTAACGATGAACGGCGACGATTCACGATAAAAGGTTTGAGGGGTTTTGTTCATCGCTCGACAACGAACACGATGATGGTTTCGACTCGTCGATCGGAGGTCGGACGGCAAGTAGATCGGAGTTCAAAAAGGGGTTGATGAAGAGGAAAATTTGGAAAAATTTCATTATCTTCAACGTTCATCAACTGCCCAGATAATACCACAAAAGAACATAAAGAATGTGTCTTTTTGGAAGAAGTAATCTTGGAAGATCTTCGTAAAGAGATTAGTGATAGGTTTAGAAAAAATGTGCCTTTTTTGCATTGCACCAACTAATGCAAACGTCGCATTTTAGATGGGTTTAGATAGAGAGAGAATGAAGAATAAAAATAAAGAAAAAAAATGAGAAAAATGAATTTTTATAGGTAATTAAAATGACGTCTTTTTGAATTAGATTTAATTTTATGTATGAATTTAAAATGACATTGTTTTAGTATAGATTGTCATGTCACTACGTTGTTAATTATTTAACGGTGAGATGATAAAAAATCTAATCTATAAAATTCAGTAAATAAATTAAAAATATAAAAAATTAAATAAGAGATATAATAAGATTTCACGAGTAAATTTATAATTTACCCTTAAAAATATTTCCCAAAGACCAAAATTGGTGTGTGCAAATCCCAAGGCCAGCTAGATTAGAACAAAGACAAAAACACAATTTCACCTCCCCGTGGCGGTCATCAAACCACATGCTGCACCCCAATTTTCCGGTTAGACCCGGTAGTTCGTCTCTCTTCTCATATTTACCTAGTATATGTGTGTTTTTGCTTTGAAGCTTCTGCCTTTACTCTCCTTGGAGCAATCTTCAATTTCTTTGAATCATTTTCACACATTAAAAAGAAAAAGACAAAACTTGTTTGGGGAGTTTGATCTTGGAGATGTCAAGCGTTATGGAGAAAGAAGGGGTTAGCTTGGAAGAGCTGAAGAAGAGAATGGCTGAGTTTGCAAAGGAAAGAAAATGGGATCAGTTTCACAGCCCTAGGAATCTCCTGTTGGCCCTGGTATTTTACAATCTAAAACCCTAAATATATTCTTATTTATCTATTTGAAAAATTCTCACTCACCCATTGTTCTTCCTGCATCTATTGTTCTTTTCAAGTGTAATCACTCAATAAGAACAAGAAAAACACCGCCTTTTAGTTTTCCTTGGTTCCAGGGGAATCTGTGTTCATTGTGTTGGGTATCAAAACCCAATGAACTAATGAGTACTTAGTTATGATCCGCATGAAAATTCATTTTTTTAAATGTTCACTCAAAAACCCATTCTGGAAATTTGGTTTTTGTTTGGGGTTCTGAGACTTTTGTTGCTGTTTCATCAACTGTAGAGTCAAGAATTAATGTCATGAAAGGTAAGGGAAACAGTAGCGCAAGTACCACTTGTCTGCTGCTTCCATAATGTTTGAATCACTGTTGCAAGTAAAATACAAATATGGGTTGTTGGTTCTTATGATATATATACATAAATCATGTCAATACTCAATACCCCACATCTTTCATCTGCAAATACAATCTTGGATCTGTTCATGGCTTCTTTGTCAGTCACTGTGTTTCCTATGAGCATGTTTGTAGGTGGGAGAAGTGGGGAAATTATCCGAGATATTTCAATGGAAAGGAGAGGTTGAAAGGGGACTCCCTGATTGGGAAGACGAAGAGAAACAACACTTAGGGGAGGAACTGTCAGATGTTTTGCTATACCTCGTCAGGCTGTCTGATATCTGTGGGGTTGATCTTGGCAAAGCTGCTATGAGGAAGATGGAGCTGAATGCCATTAAATACCCAGTCAAACTTTGCAAAGGTTCATTCAAAAAGCACACGCTATTCGATGCAGATGAGAGCAGTGTTAATGGTGACAGTGCTGCTGTGGATGATTAATCTTCATTAATTTGTATAATCATGTTTAAAACAAATGACATGGGGTTTTGATTTGCTTGCATGGGCACAATCTGGGGTGGCGTGCCACAGTGCCTGGAGCAAGTAATAGCTAAATAGTAAAGTGTTTTATCAGCTATTTTATTGCTGCAGGCGGTCACTGTCTTGCAAACTGCAGTGAATCCTTCAGCTTGAGAAATTGATTTTGCATTGAAATTGACAACATTTCTTTTCATGTTTTATTGAGAATGAATGTCCTTTAATTGAAGGGTATGTGTCCTCTCGTGAAACCCTAGCCACCCATTCTTCTAAAGTTGCATTCACTGCGGCCAACAACCCCAAGCCTTTGACTTGGCTCCTGGAACGCTTTGATGTTCTTCATCCTGGTGTTCTTAATGTCTTGCAGGTTGGACGAAGGCTTCATGAGTAAATATGGTAAAAAGTGTCTAATAGATTTAACTTGATCCGATTAGATAGAATTATGTTTTTCCTAATGAAATTTAAGTTTCGCATTTAGTTTAATTTGCAAAAATTTATCTTGTTATAAGATAATTACAATCATTTTGTATTTTTATATATTATTAATTATTTTTTTGTAAAATATATCTAAAAATTTAGCATATAAGAAATTATTAATTTTACATTATTACATCAAATAAATTAATATTTTATTTTATTACTTTTCTATTTGGATAAAAAAAATTAGTATGTTAATTGGATTAATTTCATTCATATATCTAAAGAAAACAACAGATTACTACAATTTACAAAAGAATCTTACCAACTCAACCGACAATACTCTCGTCTATAATACTTGCTCATTAATTGTATCAGTCCTATCTATACATTTCCATGCTAAGAATAATATCATCCTTTGTAATCCCCTTAAACATTATATAATTCCTCTCCTCCTAAATAGAGTATATAAAAGCACCCCAAGCAATTCTCAAAACAAGGATAAGAATAGATTTATCTCTAAGAAACTTCAAATAATCTTTAGGATTATCTTTCAAGAATTTCTAAACTCAATGAGTTCTACATAATCTAAAATTCTAAACAATTTTTATGATTATTTTCCAATAATTTTCTTAGAATCAACCTTAATTTGAAATTTTTCGTGTGTTTTGTGCACGGCATGATTTCCAGCATGTGCTGCATTGAATTCCAATTGAAATTCTGAACAGGCCACACTTTTCACGTGGGCATGGGCTGCCATCGATTATAAATTAATTGAAATATTCATTTACAGCTTAAACTCTGTTTCTGAGTAATATTCATTTACATCTCATTTTTCTAATTTATGGCTTTGGAACCATTTTACATCGATTTTTATGTTTACCTCAAATTTTTGAACTCGTATGTAAGCTTTAATGAATTTTGTATTCGGTGATATTATGGATTCAACTATAGCGTCTAAATCGGATTTTAAGTGTTACATAAAGTGGTTCATCTGTTTTGAAGTTAGACATGCATATTCGTTCTGATTCAACATAGTTTTATTTTATTTTTCTTTTCATCTTTAATTATTTATTTTTTTATCCGTCACAGATTAACATGATCTTTGGTTTAAAAAAAATTATATGCATGCTCTCTTATTATATTATGCACTTATAGACAATATTAAACTTCAAAGTTCATTCAAACCTTTTATAGTGGATTAAGGTAGTATTTATTCAAAATCTTTCTACCACTAACCATACACACACACTTTAAAGATGTAACTGTTCGAACCCATAATCTATAAGAATAATAGCTCTTCTTTTAACGCTGAGTCCACTGAATAAGTTCATATATGTATTATACTTAAGTCAACCACATGTTTATTCAATAACATATGCATGATTTTATGTTGAGGACAAATTTATAAAATTTTAAATGATAAAAATATATTATTAATAAAAATATAAAATTATTGTAATTAAATGAGAAATTAAAATTTGTGTGACGACCCACCAACCCTTTTGGCTCAGCCATGTTGTATAGAAACATTGCCATCAATTCAAAGACATCTTTTCTCAAGGAAAAAAACATGAAAATAAATATTGGCATTTCATTGAAAATGAATTCACTGCAGTTGACACAGTGACCACAAGCAGCCATAAAATCTCTTTAAGACACTCTACTATTTAACTATTACTCACTCCAGGAAATGTGGTACACCACCCCAGATTGTGCTCATTCAAATAAATAAACAAAAATATTGAAAATTAATACTACTTAGATGACATTTATCATCCAATCCAAGCAGTCTATTCTAAGCCCCTAGATGATAAAATAAAAGTGCATCAAACATCAAAATAGATCTTTTAGTGCATGTAATGTCACTGTTGATGTCCCTGATCCATAGCAGCACCAGCAGCAATGTCACTATTAACATTGCTCTTATCCAGATCGAGTAGCGTGTGCTTTTTGGATGAACCTTTGCAGAGCTTGACTGGGTATTTAATGGCATTCAGTTCCATCTTTCTCAAAGCAGCTTTACCAAGATCAACCCCACAGATATCAGATAGCCTGACGAGGTATAGCAAAAACATCTGACAGCTCCTCCCCCAAGTGTTGTTTCTCTTCTTCTTCCCAATCAGGGAGTCCCCTTTCAACCTCTCCTTTCCATTGAAATATCTCGGACAATTCCCCCACTTCTCCCACCTACAACAAACAAGTTAATGGGACTGACAAATGAACCATCATCGGATCCAAGATTGTGTCTTTGCAGATGAAAAATGTGGGGTCTTGACTTGATTTATGTATATATATATATAATAAAAAACGGAAACCAATATTTGTATTTTACTTGCAACAGTGATTCAAACATTATGGAAGCAGCAGACAAGTGGTTCTTGCGCTACTGTTTCCATACTTTTCATGACATTAATTCTTGACTATACAGTTGATGAAACAGCAACAAAAGTCTCCCAGAACCCAAACAAGAACCAAATTTCCAGAATGGGTTTTCGATAAAACATTAAAAAGTACTCATTAGTTCTTTAGTTTTTTTATACCCCTGGAACCCATGAAAACCAAAAGGCGGTGTTTTTCTTGTTCTTGTTGAGTGATTACACTTCAAATAAACAATAGATGCAGGAAGAACAGTGGGAAAGTGAGAATTTTTCAAATAGATAAATAAGAATATATTTAGGGTTTTAGAGTGTAAAATACCAGGGCCAACAGGAGATTCCTAGGGCTGTGAAACTGATCCCAGTCTCTTTCCTTTGCAAACTCAGCCATTCTCTTCTTCAGCTCTTCCAAGCTAACCCCTTCTTTCTCCATAACGCTTGACATCTCCAAGATCAAACTTCCCAAACAAGTTGTCTTTTTCTTTTTAATGTGTGAAAATGAAACAAAGGATTTGAAGATTGCTCCAAGCAAAAACTAAATGCAAAAAGCTTCAAAGCATTACATATACTAGGGAAATATGTGAAGAGACTACCGGGTATTGCCGGTAAAGTTGGGTCCACTTCGACCGACACGTGGAGATGAAAATATATAATTTCCATTTTTTTGGGGAAAAACATATTTTAATTATAAAATGCTATTCAAATATACATAATCACATGTTTTTATTTTCTTTTATCGTATTTTGAATTAAAAAAATTGATCTTAAATATAAATTAAATAGGAAGAACATTTTCAAAATAGTATAAATTTGGATTTAACAAAGTTGGGCAGCTTTCCATGAAAGAGAAAAAGCATTGTATGTGACAACGAAATAACAGGGACAAGAGATTACATTGCACTAATGACAGAAAATAAGGATGTTTACATTTTGATTTCACATTGTATGCTAATAATTCTTCAATAATTTATCATATTATTAATATTTTTAAAGATTTGTTGATATCTGATAATTTTGTAAACTTCGATTATTTTAAAATTTTAATTACATCAAACTCTTAAATAAAAAATAAAACTGTTTCAATATAACTTGTATATGTAAGATTTGAACTCGATACCCAACTTATAAGATATTAAACACCTTATAGATTACCACTCTACACAACATATATTAGTATACAACATTTTTTAATACCTATTGATTTATTTATATGATTTGTTCTTGTAGATATGTCTAGAACTCATATGGTATGTTTATCTAATCTATCATAGTTTAATATGATCTGTTGAAGGTATGAAATCGAACTATATTTAATACGTAATTGTTTGAACTCAATACCTTCAAGGAGAGTAACATTAGTCACTTGATAAACTCTATCGTTTGAGTCGAGTTATAATAGATTTGATAAATATATCTTATCATTTGAAATTGTTACGTCACATAAATTAAAGGTAAAAATTCTTAAGTGAAAGATATGAAATTAGATCAATTTAAATGTTTGAATTAGTCGTAATATGTTAAACGAACACATCATATTACTTAAAAACAATACGATATATTTATCATATAATAATTATATTTTCATGTAAAATTAATAAATAAGTGAATTGAATTCTATTAATCTTTTTAACAACGAAAGAAACAATGTTTGTCGCCATTTATTTTAGGTATCTCGGATGTGATTGATCAGAAATAATGGTTAAAAGAAAGCGACATGCTTTGGTGCAATGTATGTACGTCCTTCCCGATAGCAACACCGTATTTGTTAGGCAACTCACCATCATTTCTATTTTCTTTGTTTTTTTTTTCTATTAATCTTTTGGTCATGTGTATCATATGGTCACTTTATATTCAAAATTTTAAGTTCGATTCTATCAAAAATAAATAAATAAATAAATAAAACACATTAGATAGCATTGGTGATTAAAGTGAATGTTGTTATCTCTAAAAGTTTTGGGTTCTAGTACCTACGTTTGTATGATGTGTGCGTATTATTAATGATTAAGAAATATTGTGAACATATATTATATTACAATCACCCTAGATTATTTAAAAAATATAAAGGTCGAATGTAATGTAATGTGAATTACATATGATTTTCTTAATTATTTATATGTAAGTTTTATTTAAATTTAAATTTGAATAACTTTTTGTTGTTAATCATATTTAC